TAGGCAAGCAGGTAGCGACTTGAACGAGTGGGGGGGTAATAATTTGGCAGGGGGTCAAAATTGGGCACAACACCGGTTTTTGTCCTTAAAACGCTCTTGTGTGTAGGATTCATTTCTTAAGCATCTCATCCAACGCCTGCGTTGCTAATTCCAAAACATCATTTTAGACCTAGTAACGGAGCCGTTGATGGCAGACTAATGCAGTTAATACTTAAATATTTTGTGATTCATCTCACTATTTCTGACCACTGTTTACAAAGTAGAATGAAATGGTATTAATGTCAAATTCTGTCTATTGTAACATTAAATTTATTTATATTTTTCCATTAAATATTACAATTGTTTGTATTTGTTTATTATTCATGTTTTTACAGTATATTTTTTCTCATCTGAACTTGTCAGTGGACCCATCACTGACTTGGAGTCTTCATCTTATAAGAGTATACATCATTTTAATCATATACCAAATCAAGTGCTATTTATTTCCTTATGTATAGAATTAAAGAATAAAAAATGCACTTTTACCTAGTCTTGCACTGCAAGATCAGTTCATGTTGGTCTGGCTCACAAGGATGTTCTAGAGTTCAGGCCGGTGATGTATGACTTCCATCACTTCTGCTCCGTATTCTCATTTGTATTCTCCTCTGCTTTTTTGACCCCTCCCCCCAATGCCCCTTCCCAATTTATGCTTTCTACGCAAACTCCACTGAAGGTAATGATGCAGTACGGGTACATTTCATTGGTGTACTAATGATCTCTCTGTTTTTCCCACTTATTTTGGTTCCTCGTATGCAGCGATGCGGAGAGCTGGTTCTGCGCGTGTCCTTCGCTTTACTCCGGTAAGCTGTGCCAGTTCACCGCCTGCGAGCGAAACCCGTGTGCGCTCGGCGCCACCTGCGTTCCCCAGACGCGGCTCGAAGCAGTGTGTCTTTGCCCCTATGGAAGGCAGGGTCTCCTCTGCGATGAGGGTAGGTCCCGTCAAGGTTCGTGCGTAGACGGTGATTTACACCAGTGTCCATGGAGACACAATGAAGCCGGCATGGCCAGATGGTGTTTCATTTGATATTTGTTGCATTCTGAGGTTTGTTTTCCTCCATCTCCTGCGAGCACCTCCGTTTTTGAGGTTAGACCCATAGGTGGTAGATTGAAATGTATTCCCAGCAGTTTTGTTTAACTGATGCAAGCCGTTGAAATACGGTTCCAATTAGAGAAGCTAAGTGCTCTGAGCTTGCTACAAACTCACTAAACAGTTACTGAACTCTGAACATTTAAGGATAACTGCCAGTCTGCGTTGTATTGCTAACTCGATTCCTCTATGTGCACTGACCTTTCGAGGTGTCTACAGGTAATGGAGTATGCATCCAAATATAATGAGCACACCAAGTGCTTTAAATTAGGCTACTCTGAAACTTAATTTATCAAAGCGTAGTCACAGAATATACTCTCTGCAATTGGATTTGTTTTATTGTCTCAAATAACCAAGCTGTGAAGACATACTACAGCGCCGTGTAACTAATGTACTTCTCTTTCCGGCTCTACCTCACAGTGTTAAGTCAGCTAAAGTCCGATATCTGCTTACACAGATAGCTCTTCATCTTCTCAACTGCACTTCGAGGGAAAATAACTGCTGCTATTTTGCTGTAATCTAATTGGGTGGCATGGTTTGAAGACCGCTTGGCACAGCACGCCGGGCAGGCCTAGCAGACGTCGCTCTGTCAGACAGTAAAGAGCCCGATGCCAAATGGAGTGTTCTAATCTCGCAGTGTCACACCGAGTGGGACTGACATTTGAATTTAAAGGCTGATAACGGCAGATAACATCAATCAGTATTGATTAGTAACCAAGGCCTTGCTGTCTCTGGACAGTCACTCAACTTTAGATGTGCTGGACTTCTTCAAATGAGCCTGGACTAATGGAATTATAGGAAGGGTGTTTTGAGTCTGTTTTATGTATTGATTTAGTGTTGCATTTAGATATATTTTTAGTACTGTATTTTTATAGATTACTCAGAAAATAAGATTCAAAGAGCAAAAATCTTTTTTTTTTTTAAGTTGCCAGGCAACATGGCAAATGCGATTTATGTGGTAACATCCAAAGTAACTGCTTAAATTAACTTTCAAGAAAAAGACATTTATTGGAAAAAATGGTTGTTATGCTTCAGTGTTGTATTAGTATTATCTGAATACTATGATAGTATTTATTAACATTTTCAATTGTGTTTATTTTTATATTTTAATTTTTCATTTTATTTTTAGATTAGGTTTGTCATTTTAATAATAATGTTTGTTTTTACTTTTTTTATATTTCCATTTAGCTACCATTTTTTAATTTCAGTACAAGAATTACAAAAAATTACAAAAAAAAGTTTACGATTTTCATGTAATGTTTGTAATTTATTGTATTTCAGCTTTGTTTCAATTACCAATAACAATTTTTAGTTTTAACAACAACACTGTCATGCGCACTTTTTTTTTTTTTTTTTTCTTCTTTTTTTTCACCGTAAGTTGAAGTAATTTAATTTTCTTTTAATTCAAGTTTCTAATATGTATATTTCTTCAGCTTAACTTAAATTGCCAATAATACTTTTATTCAAACATAACAGCAGTCATGGATTTTTTTTTATTTTATTTTATTATTTTACTTTGACCTGACCCACTTAAAATGTATTATTTGCATAACTGCAGCTTTATTATCAAAGAATTAGCTTTTTTAGAAGTCAGAATTCACAGGCAGGCAGACAGATAGATTGATCTTTCGATTGATCATGGGAGCTTGTATTGCTGAAAGCAGCTTGAGGCTGCAGTGGGGTTTAGAGGACAGACTGTGTTCTCTGACGCACCGTTAACATCACACTCACCTAAAATAGACCCATAACATAATAGCACATCTGTCCTAAACCGCCTTACAGCCTTATTTCACACATCATGTGACTTCCTGTATTTTCATTTCACCCTCACCAGGCTCTGCATCAAAAGATTAAACGATCATCTTGTGGGAAGTGTATAGGATCAAATAGATTCTGTGAGGAGTTGCTCACATGTGCATATCTTTTTTTTATGTCTTTATTTTTCATTTGTGTGTGTGTGTGTGTGTGTGTGTGTGTGTGTGTGTGTGTGTGTGTGTGTGTCAGTGGTAAGAGAAGGAAATCAAAAAAAAGCAAAATGTCTCGGGGTACAAATGTACAGCTGACAGAAAGCTATTTAATTTCACTACAGCAAAATCCTTACACACAAATGGTTTTTGACTAGAACGGATGGAAATAAATGGGTAATATGTCACCTGTAAAAACTGCCAGGGAGTTGGAGGTTTTGTTTTCTTGTTCCTTTATTCACCTCCAGCAACAGCAGCAGAATAATACAGCAGAGAGAAGCATCCTGTGCTCTGCAGTGCCTTTGCAGGGAAAGTTAAACGTTAGTTATGGTTATTTGTGGACATATCTTTATCCTGTCATATGGGACATTCACAGATACATTTTTAGTTATTAGAAGAATAAAAAAAATAATAATAAAGTGTTTTATTCATGTATCAGAAGTGTGAAATACATCAGGGAAAGCAAGAGTTTTTCATGTCTAATTATTGCAATTCTGATCACTTCTGAATGCTAGAATCAGAAATCCCATTTGACTTTGGAAATGAGCTCAAATCACACCCTTGCACAGGACTGCAGTTGGTAACTGGTATTCTCAAAACGTACCCAATATGTCCGATTAATAAATGCCCAGTTTATTAATGAATTTCACTTGGAGCAAGAAATGTAACTCGGCATAGGCAGCATATCACAGAGCCATTACATGGCACTGTGAGTTAAGAATACAGCTGGCCCCATCAAGCCAGCGCTGCTAAAAATGCATTCTAGTCGTTCATTAGGCGCTGTGCAAATAAACCGTGACAAGGTAATATATGTGCAATTTCAAAAGGCATCAATAATTCAAGGGGAGAGCAGAGGGAAGAACTTCATTTCTGTTCCCAGAGAAATCCTCCGGCGAGGCTTTGCAGACTGCACAGTTCATAAAGACAAACTGAGGGGTGGAGACAACTCTTTAGGTAGCACATTTTTTTCACTGGAGAAAACGTGTGTAAATGCTTAATGTACCCAAGCTGAAATGTTTCTGACCGATGCTTGGTGGACCAGGTGATTAAATGTTGAGATTTTACTCCTCTGAAATGCATTGTCCAAAGTAACAGCCATTCAACAAATTCTGATTTCTGCAGATATCACTGTTACGACCAATGTCCATTCCCAGAGTAAAATGGCACAAAATTACAATAATAATCGTTAGCAGCAGCATCTTTCCCCACAGGAAATAATAATGCATAGAATTTGACAAGTGCAATAAATGGTGCAATATCGCCATCTTGTGTCTGTTTCTCAGAAAGCTGCTGGTAACTTCACCTCAGTAAAATTGTTTGTCATTTTACAGATTTTTATTCAGACTTATTACAATGCATTTCTCAAGTACAGTTGGGGAAAATATTTATTTGATCCCCTGCTTATTTTGTAAGTTTGCCCACTTTCAAAGAAATTAAGGGTCTGTAATTTTTATGGTATCAAAATGATTTGATCCCCAAGCAAAACATGACTTAATACTTGGTGCAGAAACCCTTGTTGGCTAGCACAGAGGTAAGATGTTTTTTGTAGTTGGTCACCAGGTTTGCACACATCTCAGAAGGGATTTTGGTCCACTCCTCTTTACAGATTCTCTCTAAATTCTTAAGGTTTCTTGGCTGTCATTTGGCAACTCGTTTCAGTTCCCTCCACAGATTTTCTATAGGATTGAGGTCTGGAGACTGGCCAGGCCACTCCATGACCTTAATGTGCTTCTTCTTGAGCCACTCCTTTGTTGCCTTGGTGGCATGTTTCGGGTAATTGTCATGCTGGAAGACCCATCCGTGACCCATCTTCAGTGTTCTGGTGTCATGCTGGAAGACCCATCCATGACCCATCTTCAGTGTTCTGGCTGAGGGAAGGAGGTTCTCGTCCAAGATTTTACAGTACATGGCCCCGTCCATTTGCCCCTCAATGCAGTGAAGTCGTCCTGTACCCTTAGCAGAAAAACAGCCCCAAAGCATAATGTTTCCACCTCCGTGCTTGACTGGTGACCGTGATTTCACCAAGCACCAAGTACATGTTCCTGGATCAACATCCTTGTTGACCAAAGATCCAGGAACATGTCTTACTTGGCAAAAATCACGGCGACCGTACTTGACTGTAGGGATGGTGTTCTTGGGGTCATAGTCAGCATTTCTCTCCCTCCAAACACGGCAAGTCGAGTTAATGCCAAAGAGCTCAATTTTGGTCTCATCTGACCACAGCACTTTCTCCCAAGCCTTCTCTGAATCATTTAGATGTTCATTGGCAAACTTTAAATGGGCCTGTACATGTGCCTTCTTGAGCAGGGGGACCTTGCGGGCGCTGCAGGATTTCCGTCCATTGTGGCGTAGTGTGTTACCAATGGTTTGCTTGGTGACTGACTGTGATCCCAACTGCCTTCAGATCGTTAACAAGCTCCTCCCGTGTAGTTCAGGGCTGATCCCTCACCTTTCTCATGATCATCCTTACCCAATGAGGCAAGATCCTGCACGGAGCTCCAGACCAAGGACGATTGATGGTTGTTTTGTATTTCTTCCATTTCCGAATGTGGTGGGAGAGGTTGGAATGGACGATACAGATTGTGTGGACAGTTGTCTTTTATACACCTAACAAGCTGACATTAGGAGTAACTTCTTAAAGTGACAGGACTAATCTGTGTTCCACATGGGCAAATAACCAATCTGTGGGAGCCAGAATTTTTAGTGGTTGGTAGGGGATCAAATACTTATTTCACTAACTGAAATGCAAATCAATCTCTAACCTTTATATAATGTCTTTTTTCTGGATTTTTGTTTTGGTCGGTATTCTGTCTCTATCCATTAAAATAAACCTACCATAAAAATTACAGACCCTTAATTTCTTTGTAAGTGGGCAAACTTACAAAATTAGCACTGAATCCAATAAATATTTTCCCCACTGTATAATTACAGTAAATGTAGCAAGAATTTAACCCGCAACCCTTACGATAGGTCACCATTAACCATTATGTTGTCATAGCCATGACTTGTTTTATTGTTATTATTATTATTATTATTATTTTAGGCATATGTTTAAAAAAAAAAAAATGTATATTGAAAATAATAATTTGTTTTTAATTATTATTTTATTAATTTAAAATAATTTAACAATTTTATTTGAGTATTTATTTATTTTGCTATTTTGCTATTTCTTTGCAGCTGTCAACATCACTCGTCCCAGGTTTAGTGGACTTGATGAATTTGGATACTCATCCTATGTGGCTTATCCTTCTATTCCCAGTATCGGTCATTTTTATGAATTCCACCTGAAGCTCACCTTTGCCAATAATGTCTCCGCTTTGAGAAACAACCTCATTCTCTTTTCTGGGCAAAAGGGACAAGGTGAGTGAAAATCTTTATATTTGTTAATCCATCTTTCTTTATTCACTTTGATTTCAGCGCATCCCTCAGTGGTTATCATACTATGCCGTATATATGGTGTATGAAAAAAAGAGCTGGATTCATAGCAGTTTGGCTGTAAAACGTTTTCCCAGCATTAGATGAGGTCATGTTAGAGGAAGTGAGGTTCAGAAATAGTATCACTCAACTAGGAGATATTAATGGAGCAGCTGCTGTAAAATGTGCTGTAAGTGTAAGTCCAGGACCCAACAGCAGAGACAATTTATACGTGCACACAACGGGGCGATGATTTTTATTATCCGCCATAAGGGAAAGATCTGTTATATATATGAGGTCTCTAAAGAATCTCAGATAATGGAGGAGAACTCTTGACCATAGTATTCAAACTAGGCTGTAAAGATAGTAAATGCAGACTTATTTACCAATAAAAACATTTACACATCTCTAATTTATAGACAAGTATTATTAATAATCATTTAATAATAAATAGGGTGTAATAACATATAATAATTATAATGTTATAATTATATACATTTATTTTTAAAGTCTTTCTTACCAGCTAAAAAACAGTTAAACATTTTTAAATGATAAATTACTTGAGAAGGTAGTAGATATATTAAGAGCTGTTTTCAGAAAAAAACCAACAAATCAACTTCCTGTTGAAAATGGCGTTAAGAAGAAGAGCTGTCGTTTTGAGAGACACAGCATCTCGGTCAAGTTTCCTCATGCCTTGATTTCCTCCGCCACCATCAGCAATTTATTTTAAGGTCAGTTTCAGTGGCTGCTAACTGACACGTCACTGTTACGAACATGTTTAATCAAAAGACAGGCAGCTGAATAAAAGCGTAAGGGGGGTATGAATCTTCCTCAGTTCAGAGAGCGTCTCTCGGGATTATAGTTTAGGATGATTCATCGAGGGAAAGAGAGAAGAGGACAGCGCTGTGAATAATGAAGCAATTGTCAAGGGGGCCGTGCAGCACAGTGGAGGACAAAATCAAAAAGAAGGAATCCGAGAGGATGAGAAGGCAACTATTCACCTGATAATTGGCCAGATAAATTGGACCGTTAGATCCATCAGCTCAAAAGAAAAATAAATTACATTTTATAGATGGCCGGATTGACCTGGTCATTGGTGGTCCACCAGTGAAAATGCTTCAGTTTGACATACTTTTCTAATTTATTACTTTTTTTGCATAGTAATTGAGTGATTAGTGATCACATCAAAATTAGTGATTAATTTTACCTCATGCATTTTTCAAAATCCTAAATCCGTTTATTTCCAGGTTTAAACGGGAAATAAAAATCCCAGATTTCCAATATGTTCTCAGACTTTTGGTCCCCACTGCATGTGCTAATTGGATTCTGTGTGTTATTGTTTCTGTGTGTTATTGTTTCTGTGAAGGCATCAGTGGTGATGACTTCTTCGCATTGGGGGTGCGGAACGGCAGGCTTGTTCATAAATATAATCTCGGCTCGGGTTTGGCAACAATTATCAGCGAGCGCCTGAATCCGAGGATCAACATTCACATGGTGCACTTTGGAAGACATCTGAAAAACGGATGGTTGAAGGTGTGTTTTTTTTTTTTTATTCATATAAAACATTATTAAATGGCTTGGCTTCACTGGGGGCAAAGGTTGGTCTGACCTACTCGGTGCTAATACAATGTTATTTTTAGATTTACTAGTCTTCATAAATTTGGGGTCAGTTTTTTTTTTTTTTTTTTTTTTAAAGAAGTTAATACTTTTATTCAGCAAAGATGCATTAAATTGATGGCAAGTGATGGTAAAGACTTATTTATAGTGTTAAAACATATTTCAAATAAATGCTGCGGCTAGTCATGAAGAATCCTGAAAAAAAATTGATTATGAAAAATAAAGATAGTAAATATTTTGTTATATAATGAGTATACAAATATTTGGGGCTTGTGTACCAGTAAAAATATTTAAACATCTTTAAATGATAAATAATTAATATCAATAATAATTTAATTATTAGACATATTTTTATTTCTTTAAATATTTCTATAATAATTACAATTATTTTTGTACATTTATTATAATAAAATCTTGCTTACCAGAAAAAAAATAGTTTTAAAGTTATAAATTACATGATGTATATTATAGAGATCATGAAGAATCCTGAAAAAAAATTGATTATGAAAAATAAAGAGAATACTGTATATAATTTATTTTGTTTTTTTAAGCATAAACCAATTTTATTAAAAAATCTCATGGGATTATATATATTAAATATCTTAAGAAGTATCTTTTATGTAACTATGCATTTTAAACTGTAAATCTTAACTATAATCTTAGCTATAAATTTTGCTTCTCAAATAAATGCATATATTTTGTTACTTGAAAACGACATGAAAATACTCATTAAAAAAGGGTTTTCTGGCATTTATGTATTCAAGTGCAATGTAAGTACCATTATAAAATAATAATTGCTATTCGTTTGAAATGCAAGACAAAGCCAGTAGCCTGTCTCTAAGAATGCTGAACAAAAAATAAATAAATAAATACAAGAAATGACGGGGGACGGAATTTCAAAGCGTTTTCTTGTTCTGAGTCACCAATTTTGACACTAAGGTCTTTTTGACCAGCTGACGTCACGTTGGTTTGTTCTTTTCTGAACAGGTTGATGGGCAGAAGAGGAGGATGGGTTCATCCCCTGGACCACTGGTGGGCTTAAACACCTTTAGTCGACTTTATGTGGGTGGATGTGAAGAATACACACCTGAGCTATTGCCTGCAGGCTCTCGATTCCAGAACAGCTTTCAAGGTAGTATGTTTTTTCATTGTGGTCTTGTTTGATGTCTTGATTCAGATTGTCAGTTCATGATGAAATCAGTCTTTCTTACTTGGATCATCTGTGTAGTGATGTGTAGAGAAAGTAACGTGTGAATTGATGTTCTGCTTATTTTATGAACATCTGTAGCTCTGAGGGGACCCTTAACCTTGTGTGATTGTTTGATGTCTTGATTCAGATTGTCAGTTCATGATGAAATCAGTCTTTCTTACTTGGATCATCTGTATAGTGATGTGTAGAGAAAGTAACATGCGTGAATTGATGTTCTGCTTATTTTATGAACATCTGTAGCTCTGAGGGGACCCTTAACCTTGTGTGCAATATGTGTGCAATCATCCATCACAAAGCTTTATTGAAACAGACATTTTAATGCTAACAAAATATGGTGTTTGCAGGTTGATGTTATTCTGAGGGAATTACTCATAAAATGTTACAACTTTTGATCCGTCAAAAGTTTAGACACACCTGCTTTATGAAATAACGCAGTGAAATAACACAAACAGATGTACAGGAACTATGTATTGACCAAACAAATAATTCAAATTATATTATTTGAAAAAAAAAAGGCTTTTAAAACTTTATCATTGTAAAGAAATGTACATCTACAAAATTAATGAAAGGAATAGTTCACCCAAAAAGAACATTTGCTGAATATTTACTCACCCTCAGACCATCCAAGATGTAGATTAGTTTGTTTCTTCATCAGATCAGATTTTGAGAAATGTAGCATTACATCAATTTTTCACTGCAGTCCAAACAGCTGATAAAAACATTACAGTAATACACATGACTCCAGGCCATCAATTAACCAGTGAGTGCAAATTGTCTTCTTTTTTTTTTCTTCTTCTTTTTTTTCATCAAAAGCTATTCCTTGAAGGATACACCTTTTAAAAAATGTTGATAGGATTTCAGATTCTGTGTGTCCAAACTTTTGACTGCTGGTTTTTTTTTTATCTTTAGTCTCTCGTCTTATTACATAGCATTTCATAACAGCTGTGAATCACGCTGAAGAGTGTCGGATGGAGTTGACCTTCTGTCTCAGGCTTTGGATGCTTTACAGTCAGTAGGCCTCATTCATGAAACACGAGCAGAACAAATTTCTCTGTAAATCCTTCATAAATCTGTTCTCACATAAATTGTTGCATTTCCTGCAGAGTTGATTTGAGACATTCTGTTCCAGAACGCCAGAGTGTCTGTGATTTTAGAAATGTATTTTAATTGGCCATTGACTGCAGCCTTATTGAAATTCTGTGCAATGATCTCAAGCACAACATCATGAAAACATATTCGAACTGAATATGAGTGGGCCAAGATTCCTCCCAACCCACTGCGTGTCTTGTTATTTAGTCACTTTTGTTGAAGAAATGTTCTAGATTCAATACAAGTTATTCTCTACTACCACATAACATAATTTCGACTCATCCCTCAGTTTAGAATAATTCACTTACAGTGGAAGTCTAAAATATAGTTTCACAACGTCTATCTTGGGGCATCTTCAACCTCAAATTACATTTTTGAAACTGCTTGATTATGATTTTAAATGGTTATTGACTGGCTATTAAATTATCATCTGAATTTAATACCCACCTATGAATATATGAACTGATCTCATGGAGCTCAAGGCTCTTGATATTTGCAACACTCATCTGCATCTGCCATTTACTGGAGATTTCTTTCTTTCTATTATTTGAAAAAGAGGAACAGAATAGATTTCTTTCTTTTTCAGCATCAAAGCTCAAGCTCAAACTCATGGATTTTTACCTATTTTTCTCTCTCTCTCCTTCTCCCTGATGGCTTTTCCAAAAATAATCACACACTTTGTCAGCACTGTTATTTTTTCTTGTCGTTTCTGTAGAAAGCCATGTGCCAGAATTAGATGATATTATTATATGAATTTTCAGTGATGGCACAAATGTTTCCTCTTTTCCTGAATGTTACATTTACTAGACTTTTAGAAAAAGCATCTGGGGCATGCTGGGATGTTCATTGGATGTCTCCAGAGCTTACTGCCCCAGTGATTAGAAGAGCTCAGTTTGGGGTCAGTAAGTTTATATATATATATATATATATATGTATATATGTGTGTGTGTGTCTGTGTTTGAAGGGCGTCTATCCTTTTCAAATTTATTTCATCAAATATCTGCATTCATTTTGTCAACAATACAGTAAAAAACAATATTGTGAAACATTATTACAATTTAAAATAACCATTTTCTATTTATTATATTTTACATCGTAATTTATTCCTTCATTTATTTGACCAGAAATGCAGTAAAAACAGTAATGTTTTCTTATTCATTTCTTATTATCAGTGTTGAAAAAAGTTTTGCTGCTTCAAATGTGACATTTTTTCAGAATTCTTTCAAAAGAACAGCATTTATTTATTTTTTGTAACTATGTAAAGGTCTTTACTTTCACTTTTGATCAATTTAATGCATCTTTGCTGAATAAAAAGATTAATTTCTTAAAAAAAAAGAAAAATCTTATTGACCCCAAACATTTGATGCTGTATATTGATGCTGTGTATGTTGACTTTCAATACTGTATATTCTGCTATATTCCTGCACACAATGCTATCATATGGCTTCTGAAGACTCCGAATATAGTGCGCAAATCATTAAAAATACTTTCAAAGTGGTTTTGTTTTTTGTTTTTTTGCTGCTTTGTTTTTGTCCTTTTAGGAGCTTTACAGACCCCGGTGAACATGAGGGTGAGTAAATAATGACATGATTTTTTCTCTCTCTCTCTCTCTCTCTCTCTCTCTCTCTCTCTCTCTCTCTTTGACTTTAAAGGCTGCATTAACATAATTTTTTCTCTCTCTCTCTCTCTCTCTCTCTCTCTCTCTCTCTCTCTCTCTTTGACTTTAAAGGCTGCATTTTTGATTTGCTGTTTCGGACGAGACAAGATGGGAAGTTTCATCCTCCAGGAGGGTCAGAGGGCAGGCCAGTGTCAGGACGTAATGTGGGGCAGTGTGGTGTTAATCTGTGCAGCTTGGTCATCTGCAAGAACGGAGGCACTTGTGTGGACTCTGGATCCTCTGTGTAGTAAGACTTCCACTTCAGAACAAGCACCTGTTTGTGCGTGTGAATGACTGACAAATAGTATTAATCATTTGTATTTGGCCTTCCCCTCCAGCTGTCAGTGTGTGTTAGGATGGAAAGGTGCTCTTTGCTCAGAGAAAGTGTCGTTCTGTGATGCTGAGCACATCCCACCACCCTCCTGCGCTCGCGGTGCCCCCTGTGTGCCCCTTCCTGATGGATACACATGCCAGTGCCCCCTAGGCTCTGCTGGACTCTTCTGCCAGCAAGGTTAGACCACAATCAGTCTCACCTCCAGGGAACCGCTGGGCTTCTGCAGAAGGATTCAGACAAACATAGTGTAAAAAATAATATGTTAAAATTGGCAAATTGTACATTTTATTGTCTCATTCCGCTTTCTAAAGACAGGAGATTATTGACTGTTTTATTATTGACAGCCATATTTTTTTTTCTTTTCAGGTATACAGTAACTGTTGGTAGAAAAAGTACACTTCAGTTAATATATTATATTATAAAATAATATAATTAATATATTTATATATATTAAATACATGTAAATGTATATAGTAAGTATAAACAGAAAATATTTTATTTATGTTTTTAAAGAAGTCTCTTTTTCTCATTTAGGCTGCAATAATTTGATCAAAAATACTGTAAAACAGTAATATTGTGAAATACTGTATAATGACACAATAAAATAACTCTTTTCTACTTTAATGTTTAAGATTTTGTTTATTCCTGTAATGGCAAAACTGAATTTTAATCATGTTTTATGCAGGATTCTTTAGTGAATAGAGGGCATTTGTTTGAAATGTCTTTACTGTCACTTTTGATCAATTTAATGTGTCCTTGCTTAATAAAAGTATTAATTTCCTTAGAAATAAAATTTGATTGACTCCAAACTTTTGAACTGTAGTGTGTATATGTAAATAAAACATAAATATAAAAACATATGTTACAGTATAGAGATTTTGTTGCCTTTATATTTGTCAAATTAGTGTTGCCTTGAATAATACACTTGATCAAAATAAAAGCTAAATATTTTTGCCTTTTATATTTCTCGAGAGAAAAAAAAAATACTCTACTGCTCCATGTTCACTTTATGAAAGTCAAGAAGTTGCTTAAATAAGCTTCTTAATATTCAAATAGTAAATATTGGAAACTGTGCTTTCAGGTTTCTCTGTTTCTTTTCCAGCTGTATCTATCAGTGATCCCTTCTTCAGTGGAAATCAATCGTCTTGGATGTCATTTCGTCCCATCAACATAAGGCACAGAACTCATCTGCAACTGCAGTTTCAAACTCTTTCACCGGAGGGCATCCTGTTCTACGCCGCACACTACTTGAGCAGTCGGTCCGGTAAGACAGCATCTTGAAGTTACATTATGCTAAATTAAACCATTTAAGTGTATCCTTAATACATTTTCATACATACTCATATCATACATATCCATATTTAAGATATGTTCAGTAACAAAGTGTGAATAAAAACAATAGTTTATAATTTAGAGTTTGTAATTTTGTGAACGGAATGCTATTAATTAACATTTATTCTCTACCCATCCAAGGTGATTTCCTCAGCGTATCCCTGTCAGCTGGATTTGTGCAGCTCCGCTATAATCTGGGAAACGAAACTATTGTATTACAGTCTCCAAAAAGTGTAGATGTGACCGGCATGAGGTGGCACACAGTGAAGGCTGGTAGAGAAGGCAACCATGGTTTTCTGATTCTAGACTATGAAGCCGTGACCAGGAACTCTTCGGAGGGCACGACCACTCTAGATGTTGGCACAAATATTTTCATTGGTGGCGTGTCCTCCCTGAACACACTGTCCCCAGATGCTATGGAGAAGGAGCCAGTGGGATTCACCGGCGGCATTCGAGAGGTCATAGTCAACGGGCAGGACCTTGAGCTCACAGAGACGGGCGCACTGGATGGAGCCAATGTTGGCGACTGGGACGGGACAGCATGTGGATATAAGGTTTGCTTGAACAGTGGCTACTGCCATCCAATAGGACTTTCTTCATTCAGGTGTATTTGCCCCTCATTGTGGACCGGTTTACGGTGCCAACAGTCAGTTCACTGTGTCAACAATCTTTGTCAACACGATTCTGTCTGTGTCTATAACACAACGTCTGCTTCATATTCATGTTTGTGTTCTTTGGGATGGATTGGGACTTACTGTGACCAAGACGCTACGTTGAGGACTTTAAGGTTTACTGGAAACTCTTATTTGAAATACAAGGATCCAAAGTACAACTCTAGGAATTTGATGTACACCGAGGTGTCACTAAATTTTTCTACTTTATCAGGGGACGGTTTGATCCTTTGGATGGGGAAAGCACACAGTGGAGACAATGACCATCTAGCGGTTGGGCTGCAGGGCGGTTATCTGAAGGTTTCAGTCAATCTTGGTGAGAAAATTGCTCTTCGTCTTGTGTATCAAAAGACTTTCTGCTGTAATCACTGGAATTACCTGTCTATCACTCGCAACCGAACTCTCATCCAGGTCTATGTGAATGAGGAAAGAGTCATTTTTGAAGACATTGACCCCTTTGAACGGTATGTAGCAGTAAATTATGGAGGGGTGATTTATTTCGGGGGTTTTGAATTGAAAAGAGATGTGGCGTCAGTTACATCTGGTGTATTTACTAAAGGGTTTGATGGGAGCATTAAAGATGTTTTCTTGTATCGGGACATCAGACAGCTGGAGTTTTTACAAACCAGTGAAGGTTTTAATGTCTATGAAGGTGAAGAGTAGAAAAAATAGCTGTGCGTATTGTTGCTAACTTGATATTTGATTTTAGGTATTCAGATGTAGAATAGAATGTCAGAGAGTGTTTTTTTTGTTTTTGTTCACAGTGCCCGTTTTTAAGAGGTGAAATCTGTCATTTATTGGCATGGTAAAATTATGCTGTGAGGTGGTAGGAGTGATCCTGCATCAATGATGCTTATGAAAGGTACAAAAACACTGCGCGCGCGCACACACACACACAAAAGAAACATTTGTTGTTTGAAGGAACAAAATGAAGAGATGAACACACGATAGCAGGACTGTTATATATTTGTGCCTCTTATTGAATGAGCAGTTGTATTTGTCCAGATACACACACATAAGTTCACCATTTTCAAGGGGGTATGTCTTTTAAATAAAATAATGGGGTGGCTCTTCTGAATTTACATATTAACTCTTCAATGGAAAATTGTTTCAACTTCTACCATAAAGGGCAATCAAAAACATTTACCCCAATAGTAGTCTTATTTCCTTTTTTGTTATTGTGAAATAAACAGTACCTTTTTCTGTGATCTCAGGTGTTGTTTAATTACAGTGCATGACAATAAAAATGAGCCTCTTTATGAAACAAAGACTTTAATTTCAGTCGCTTTACTAACAATAAAAACATTTTATGAACTGTACATAAACACAATGTGCTGAATATGCACATTTCTGTTGTGTGACGAGCCAAAATGTACAAAGAAATATTGGTCACCTGAAACATAGAAAATACTTAAGCCAACTTTAGAAAAATTAAAACAGAAGAATAAAAAGTGAAGCAAAAGAAGCTGTTCTCATCAACCATGAGATGTTTTGTTTTTACAACAGTAGTTTCATTTTCTTGATTACAACCAGCTGCTTGTGAAGACAATGTTAGTGGGTAATTGAAAAGCCAAGTAGGGAAAATATACATTTTAAAACAAAACAAATATTGATTACTAAAAAAAACACCAACTGAAAATCTCGTACTAGCTGCTTTTCCATATAAAAATCATTTTGCATGATTTATAAATAGTTTTCTTCTACTGTTTTACAAATTTAAGGAAAGTGGAGCGATTCCATGCCAAGATCACGAGCGTTTGTCTCTCGAGTCTCTCCTGTGTTTCTCATAATCAGAATCCCGTCTGTGTTTGTCCCTGTCCCGGTAATGACTGCTGCTGTGGTGCCGCTCTCTCTGTTTTTCATACTTGTCCTCTTTCGAGTGGCGCTCTTTATGACTGTGACTTCTGTCCCTGTGCTTTTCGCTGTCCCTGTCGTAGTGCCTGCTTTTGTGATGGTGTCTGTCATGGTGGTCTCTTTCTCTATTGTCCTTCCTGTAGGTCTCATCGGACCGTCTGGACGGCTTGTCGCCCAAGTCACCACATGACTTCTCCGAACCCTTCTCATCTTTGCTGAGGGGCGAAGAGGTCGGCAAGCTTGACTCATAAATCAGAGGTGGTGCAGGGTGTGTTTGGGGAGGGACGATTTGAGGCCAAGGTGAAGCGAGCATGTGAGGATTGCTTGGAGGGAACATCTGTGGGGGAGGTGGACCAGGAGGAAATGGGAAAGGCGGAGGAACCTGTGGTTGAAGGGGTAAGTAAGGGGCAGGATTGGCTGGAGGAGGATAATATTGGGGATCAGGTGGACCGGCGTGATACGAATGAAAAATGGGGGCTGGATTATATACTTTAGGGTTAAAAGAAGAGGTCCTGGATTGCTTAAGACCTTCGTTTTTCCCAATGGAGGAGACTGTGGTGATGGCTTGGATGTCCTCTATGTCTTTGCACTCTTGAGAGGGTTGCGCTGATGGCTGCTGAGTAACTTTCTTTTCTGAATTACTTTCTGGTTGTTGCCGTTTTAACTCAGGAGGTTCAGCTGATGAAGACGTCTTTAAAATACCAGGATATGTCTTTAAAGTCTTGGTGGGACTTGATACGGTTTCGTTTTTGGGGACAGAGCAAGAGCTGTCACTAACAGAATATTTTGATGCATCTGATGAAGTGGTTTCTCTTGTTTCTTGACTAGCTGGTGCAGCTGTGCTGCCGGACACAGACTCCTCTTTGGGTTTAGTGGCCGTGAGAGAAGAGAGGAAACTCTCGGTTGAAACATCTGCAGGTTTGTCACTCAGAGAAAGTATAACTCCACTCTCTTTCTTTTCTGAGCTGGTCTCCAGACTCGAGCTGGATGGAACCTGCTCTGTTTTAACAGCTTTGGGGTCTTTTTTCTTGATAATGAAGCGGTCAAGTCGAGGAGCGCTGGCTGTAGGTTTAGGATGGATTGCTACATTGTTTCCACTGTCAACAGTTGGAGTCTTGGACACAGTTATTGTAGAATCACTCTTTACAGTGTCGCTCGAAGATGATGCCGCATTTCCAGGCAACTTCAGCACCCCGGGAAGAAAGCGCAAACAAACATTCTCATCGGTCTCCGTATTCAATATCGGTTCTTCGACGACTGACTTAATTAAGTCTGCAGTGTCTTTTTCCTGCGAGCTCCCCAAAACGCTGACAAAACTTTGCTCCACGTCTTGAGCCACAGGAGCTTTCTGTGGGTAATCGACATGAGGTTTGCTTTCTGCCAAGAAGCTTGGAGCTTCGCTGACATCGCTTGGCAGGATTACCCCAAAGTCCCTTTTCGGTCTCTGGCGAATTACCAATCCGAGAAGAAGATTGGGACGATTGGTTTCCAGTCCTACAATGTGGAGGATTACACAATTAATATCAAGATTTTGTTGCAAAAATCATGCGGATCCTACAAATGAACCTGCAAAGAAAGTCTCACCTGGACCATCAAACGGAACAATCTGGTGGGGAATTTTTTCTGTGGAGCCGAGAGGAATGAGATACATGTCTTTAACTTGTTTGCGGTTGTTGGCAACAACTCCATATCTTCTTCGGCTGCTAAAATAGGCATATAACAAAGTATACGAGATCTCATCTTCCTCGTTGTCGGGGGTGAAACGAATAACGCATATTTCCTGGGGAAAAAAAAAAAAACGTTTAAGTCACAAAAAGCAAATACAAATGGTCATATATAGACTGACAAATCCAAGGATAAATCATTCCCACCTTTGTCCCAGAAGCACGGATTTTCTCGACATAATCCCAGACTATTTGAGGGGAGATACGTCCACCTACTTGGAAGTTGTCCGGCAAATCCTGCAGACACAATTCGATATGTTTCTAACACATCAGTTCCAATGTCTGACTGACACATTTAGGATGTACTTCAAAATGTTTGACTGCCACATTACCTGAGTTAGGTGGTCCAGTATTCCAGAGACAGGATAAGCTTTTGTTAGAAACCTCGCCACAGCTGGCATATCAACAAAGCCGCCCCACAGGCTTTCAAAACTGCTGAGGAAAGTAGCTGTATCTTCTTTGCTACTCAGACTATCTGACCTGTTAAAGCAGCAATTTCTTCAGCCTTGCTTTCGAAACATGGGATTAGATAAATCATTTGCTTAAATCAGGAATCTTACCTGGATTCGGGCAAAAAATTAAGGAGGCCTTCCTCCATGGCCCTTAAAGATAGATCGTCCGTCAGTGCTGATGTAGGTGTAGTTGTGGAGTGCTGAGATTCATCTGTCATACTAGACTGCCTCCTCACAACTGTTGTAGCCACTTTTACCACCTTTGTAGCAGCTTCCTCTGTAGGTGGAGCCATGCGACCTTCAGAGAAACATCAGAATCATGGTAAGTTCATTGTACCATAAAAACATTCTGTAACTCTGAAAACTTTACTAATAACTACTTTTTGAAACTTTGACATAAGTTTCTTTTTAACAATGTTTAACAGCTTTAACTATTAAGATGCCTGTACACAAGCTGGTTTTTACATGAAAAGAGGGAGTTTCTTAATGGACTTAATTTATCAGACTTTAATTATGATTGTTTTTTGTGCAAAAAACTTTGCTTAACATAAGTAGACCCAAGATACTTTTTAGTTTAGTATGATGTAACTAACCCCTTCACCAAAAAAAAAAAACTTTTTAAAAGCTGAACTTTATTTTAACGTTTTACCTGTGCAGATTTTGCAGTTGAGGTCAAATAGATGAGACTTGTGCAAGTTGGTGGTATCTATAGATTTCTTAGGACTGTCAGCTTTAGTCTCGGGTTTTTCTTCAGGCACTTCTGCAGCTTTCGGCACAGGCTCTGGCTGAAGACACACAAGGAAAATTTAGAAAGCAATTTTCTTTTTCCTTGCTGGAAAATATATATAAAAAAGCTGCACAGAATGGAGCATTAAGTCTCCCAAATCTCACCTCAACCTCTATGGCCTCTGGTGCCTTGGCAGGCTCCTGATTCTCAATTTCAATTTCCCCTTTATGGGTGATTTTAGTGATAGGACGTCTCTCTACCTCTCTCTGTTCTTTCTCAATCATTTCAATCGTCTGCCAGCAGAAACATCAATAGGGTCAACAATCAATATCAAAATCTGAATGACTTTGAAATGACTTTTCTGATGGACAAATGTCCCACTGAATATTATTTATATAACTCAGGAAGTTAAACACTTTGCAAATGCCATTATGATGCTGTTTAACAAAAAAATAAACTGTGAGATTTTGGAAATGCAACAGAGCTACAATGTTTTACTAACATGTCGATTCTCTCTTCGTCTCCAAG